ACTGAAAAAATATTTTGAAACGTATTTCATGCTGGTGCCTGTGAAACTTAAGTGCAGCATGCTGCCCACTAAAATATCTAGTAATTGATTTCACAAGCTTTTTACAATAGCATAAAGTTGGCCTGTTAGTGGGAGTAGTGCAGAAAAATAAAAGGAAAAATTGGTTTATTTTATTATATTCTAAATAGGTTACTCATGGTTTAACTAAACGCTAGAAATCTTAATAGCTGTTTTAGTCATTCTGTGCTCTTCTATCACCACGCTTGCTGGCACCACTGTCAAAATAATATCTACCCCTGGGAAACTCTTATTGTCCAAAAAACAAGTAATAATCCACACATTCATGTAATAATCATTTACAAATAAAAGAATCTGTAAAATTTTAGTTTCCGTGCCCTTTTATTAGACTTTCATATTTAGTGAAATGTGAACCATGTAACAATTTATTGAATAATAACAAATCCATGTAATTTACTTGGGCATTTAATACACTTCTGTCAAAAATTGTATAGTAACTTAACATTCATTAAAGTATAAAAATAAAGGGCAATGGATTATGACAAATGGATAATTATTACCAATAATTTTGTTGCTGCTTCCTTCTAGGAACTTAATCATTGAATTGCCCCCAAAGGCAAGTTGATAAATTAACCTGTTTTTTCTTATCCTTGTGATTGCTTTCTGCCTGGATTCTTTCCCCAGTTTTTTATCTATGGAAAACACCATACAGGAATTTCATTAACCAATTGCTATAAAAGTTTGAGGACAAGGGATAAGAATATCATTATATTACTTTTTTTACCTAGAGAGCTGATATTTATGTTGTTCATCTGCCCATTTATGCTCTGAATCAAGCCCCATTGAAGTTGATTGTAGCTATCTTTGAGTCAGATGGGTACACTGTAAGGTGTCCAAGGCAGGGATCTTTTCACGTTTGTGTATGTACATAGTGTAGTAATCTGTTGATGTCCCCTGAATTAAGCCTCAAGGACCTAGTTACTACTGATCTAGCAGACCTCCTAGGAACATGTGTTGTTCTTTAGCAAGGATATGCTTAGTGAAAACTGTCATTTTGTTGCTAGGAAACTGCTAGCATTGGATCTGGGGTGTTGCTTACCCCTGCTTGTAAGATCAAATTGATAACATTAGGTGTGTTTTCTGCTTCCCACTATGGGTAGCTGTTCCTGTTTCATTTAGGGTCTTGTCACACCAGACATTTAACGCATATTTGATTTAGAGCACAATAAGCATTACCGTGCACTATTAAAAGTTACAACATGTTCTGAGTAGTTGCAAGGTAATGCTTCCTATGATTTGGCTGGGCCCTGTTCACCCTTTCCCTCCCTCCCTTCCAACCTTGACCCCAGCACCAGGTGCCACAGTTTTCACATCCTTCCATGAGGATGTGCAACTCCCACACTTCGAGCCCAGTCCCTCTCTGCCCTATGCCCAGAATTGCCCAGGCCAGGCGTGCCTGTCCCTGAGCACTTTAGCAAGTTGTACCTTTGTTGCTGGTGGTGGGCGAAGAGAGACATAGAGAGCCACGCCTGGGAGAGGGTGCCATTCCTGGTGTTGGTCCTATACCTGCTGCTGGATACACAGAGCAAGCCAGGTCTCTGATGCTGGCAGTCTTGAGCCGGCTTCAGTATGATACAGGGGCTGAGACTGGCATCACCTTCTTGTTGGTCCCAGCCCCAGCTCTGCACTGCAATACGGAACTCATATTTTGTCTATGGAGCAGTCTGATGATAGATAAATTTGTGTGTTATTTGCTACAATCTTAACTACAATTTGCATTTGCGTGTTATTTACTACAATCTTAAGATACTCCTCCTGAGAGAAGCCCTTCGTACACATTTTACTGCTTGAATGCGTGGATGCTCATGTTTTAAATGCAGTTAACATGTCCTAAGTGTTGCACGTGACATGGCCCTTAAAAGATGTTATCTGGATCCAGAATGGGAGTGACACTTCCTTGCATCCTCCCAAAGATGCACGTGTATGGGGTAGCCATTTCCTAGGTCTAAAAGCATCTGATAATGCCAGTCAGTTCTGAGTGGATAACTGAGCATCATGAAGAGATATTATTTCATGTGTTATAGTTTATTTCTCTACTCATAACTCAATTTAAGGGCTGTATTCCCACAATCATTCTAGTAATAAAACATTATCATTTTGACAATAGGAAAGACAATATTGCACCAGTAAATTAAATACCATTTTCCTTTTATCAGCTGTTTATCTGCATGTCTTCTATATTTCATTAGAGAGTACTGCAATACAAACAGAAACTGAATGAGCTTTACTGGTTTCTCTTCATATTCCAAAGGATAAAGCATTGGTCTTTGAAAATTTTGATTTAGTACAGTGTCCAGCCATTTGTTAATACTGTAATTAATAACAGACAAAATCTCTGTGTGGTTGCAGGTGAGGTAAAAGAAAAACAAAAGCACTAATTTCTCCATAATGATTAGGATGGGGAATTCCCTTTATTGGGAATTGGGAATCAAGGTTGGTTATGAGATTTCCTTTTATGTTTCCTACATTTATTTGGATAGTTTAATAGATTTATACCTGATATCATAGCTGAAAAACTAATGAATAATTGGAATAGCTGTGGAGAAATACAACATGCAAGAGTTCTAATGCTATTATTTTCTTTATGTTTGTTCTTGTAAAGGTATCAAAATATGAAGCATGATAATAATACTTTGCTTTCATATAATGCCCATAATTCAAAGTGCTTAACAGGTATTAACTCTTAAGCAATTGCTGAGAGCAAGTTACTTCATGTAAGAGCTGTTTACCAGTCCATCACCAAATCACACAACAGTTTGGATGTGAAGCCAAAAGCGCGTCCTCCATTGTTTGGACCCAATGCAGATATAAACTGTTCTAATTATACGCTTTGGAATTTCACAAGAACAGCAAGTGTAGCAGCCTCTCACTCTGCAACATTGCAACATCCCATCAGAACTGCTTTTTTCACAGAAATTGGGCAGCTATTTTGGGGGGGAAACGGACTGATTTTTGGAGAAAAGGTAAGATTTATATGGAACATTGAACAGCCAAAAAGAGAAGGAAAAAATCGAGTTTTGACAGAGAACAGAAAATCCCTGTTTGAAAAGTAGAAATTTGTCAACACAGAGATATACTCTGGAGAGAAGAATAGGGGATCAAAGATATAGTTCTATGAAACCACACAGAAATTTGAAGAAAAGTGAGAAAAATCCCTCAGAGGACACATTGACGGAGTGATCAGAGGTGTAAGAGGAGAGCCAAGAGAGAACGTGCACAGAAACCAAGGGAAGACAGGACTGCAAGAGGAGAAGCCTGATGCCTCTGGTGAAGTGGGGCTAACGGGTCACGAAGCTTGATGCTGGAATGCTAGATCTGAGAAATGGCTGTGACGAGGCTGTTAGGAGATTTTGGTGAGAGTGGGTTCAGCTGCAATCAAGGGATGATTTAATATCAAATTGACTTGAGTGAAAATGTTTTCATTTGGTTTGATAAACAGAAGTATTTCTGTTCAACCCATCCCCAAACAATACAATTCATCTAGATTTGTTTTATGAGAATTTTTTTTGGTGGAAACCCTAAAACTGAATATATTTTGTTTGACAAAAAATAAGCTCTAATTCGCACATATAAAATGCTGCTTAAATAATCAAAAATGGCCAGCGTGCTGAAGCTTTCATTTCACCGAAAGAGAATAGATATGTTCTTCAAAGACATGTGTGTCATTTTTAACTGTGCGGCTTCCACTCACATTCACCAGTCAATACTGTGATTGAAAAGTGGTGTATAAATCAGGATCATTCTAAATATTCCCTTAAAAATTAAACAGAAAGCAGATTTATGTTTCTAAGTGCAAATTAATCAACTTCAAAGAAAATATATTTTATGTTTTTTCTGTCCTCCTCGGTTCCAGCTGGAATCGGAAGTGAAAATGCCAAAATACTACCAGAAAGGCTGTTCACATGTTTTTAGCACAGTTCTGAAGACACAGGATGCTTGGGTATTCAGCTAAGATTTAATTTTTTAGATCTTTCTCTTGCACACATTTGCACATGCATGTACACATGGACTCCTTATAGCACATATGGCATGAGTTTAAAAGAAAATGGCAGAGGGGAAGATGGTGTTATTTTTATCCTGCATACTTTCACTGTACAGAGTGCAAGACTAGCTCTACTTGAAGGTAATAGTTGACTTTTAAAGGTTATATTTTGTATCACAATTGATTTTGATGATGATATTAATTGAACACAGAAATTATGCAGCACACCCTTCCTTATTCATGCTTCTGGATTAGCTGTGTGAAACAATAGATCTAACTGGTGCTAAGGCGAGAAGTGTTCACAAAGAAGTGCTTATGTTGCAAATAGAATTGACGGTTATTAGCTGTGAGCCCCACTGATTAAGTCATCATGTAGCTGAATTTCAAGGCTAGTGTTGGCTACAATACCTTTTTAATGCTCCTTATTGGAATCTGCCTTATTTTTAACCAAAAATTAGAACAATGAAATAAAATATTTTCATAAAAGATTAGAAAAGCTTGTCTTCTGCCCTGAAAATTTTGTAGTGTGTATTTTGTTTAGCTAAAGCTCTCCCCAAAATTATATATTGCTTGATCTTGAAGCTATTTTTACATAAAGGTATTTGTTATAATCAAGCTTATATTGAACAATAAATACTTCTTCTTGACATCAGAGATCAGTGACCTTATTTCATTTGGAACTATTGGAAAAATTGAACATTTACCACTATTGAATAATGGATCATAACACAGTAAGTCTAGTTCTCTGTATGGTACAGAACCTTAAAAATAGTTGGTGTTGCCTTCTGAGGAACAGTCACATAACATTAAGCTACAAAACTGTAAAATGTCAACTCCTATCATCTTTGTGAAATGGTGCGCAAAAACAGAATACAGAGATTCCCAGTCTTGGAACCATTTTGTTTACAAAAATACTCCTTTTTTCTCTGTCTCCTTTTAGGTCAGCAAGTTGGAAAGGGAGAAAAACCAAGGAGTTAAGCAGATCAAAGAGCACGAACAGCATAAAAGCACAGTCTTGGTAACAGAACTTAAAGCCAAACTTCATGAAGAAAAAATGAAGGAACTCCAGTCTGTTCGAGAAGCACTTTTGAGACAACATGAAGCTGAGCTTCTTAGAGTCATAAAAATTAAAGATAACGAAATCCAGAGACTACAGGCCCTTCTTAATACAGTACGAGATGGGGCTCCTGATAAGGTTAAAACAATGCTTCTCACAGAAGCAAAGGAAGAGGCCAAGAGAGGGTTTGAAGTGGAGAAAATAAAAATGCAGCAGGAAATTTCAGAGCTAAAAGGGGCTAAAAAGCAAGTGGAAGAAGCTTTAACTTTGGTTATACAAGCTGACAAAATTAAAGCAGCAGAGATAAGGAGTGTCTATCACTTACACCAAGAGGAAATCAGCAGGATCAAGAGAGAGTGTGAAAGAGAGATCCGCAGACTGGTATGTGTTGATGACAATATTTATTAACAATTCTGTGATGTCTTTAATAGGAAAAAGAGTAAATTCTGTGCTGAACTAAAGAGATTCAGATATATATGGATGGGCATCCAAACACTTGGATGCTTATTCAAACAGGATCTCTAACTTTTTTGCATGTCTTGAGCATAATTTAAGAGATGTTAAAGTTGAATTTGCTTTGCATTTGGTTTTGCCCCTAATAATGGTTAATGTATATTTGTTGTTCTAAGGTAAGTACTGCAAGAAATAAGTCAAATTATTGAAACAAATCTTGGCACTATGCATGACCATTCACTGAATCTGGCACCTAAATGCACAGCTTTTTTGCTTGACTGTGTGTTGGGATGTGTATCCCTTAACTACCATGTAAGCAAAGCCCAAGGGCATGGAGTACAGGAAAACCTCTCTGCTTTTGTAAAAATTACCATTGTACCTTCTTTTATTATTCCTCTGAAGTACTATCTCTTCAGCTATGCAATGCCCTCTCATGCTATGAATTGATTCGGTGTATAGTCAGTGCCAGCTGTTTTGAAGCACCTAGTTTTTTTATTCCCAGTTTCATAGCCAAGCCCTGAAATGACTTGACCTTGCTTGGTTTGCAAAAAATGATGAAATCACACCACAAAAGAGCATAAGTGCAGAGCAAATGAATTATTTGCAATACCTACACACCAACAGGATTAGTAAAGTGCCAACAGTCTCTCCCTTCCTGGACCACACTATCTGGTAAGTCCACTGAAATAGGTGGGGTTGCTGGTTCACCAACAGTGAATTTAGTTTTCTACATCCTTATTTTTGTCAAACTTTGCTAGGGGATTGATCTATTCATGTGGAGAGACATGGTGTCTGGAGGGTAAGCCATCCTGCTCTGAATCCACAGGTTCAACTTTAAGCCTCATTCTAGACATGCATTATAGACTAGCCCCAGCTGAGTGAGAGCTAGGGAATCACAGACTGCTACATGTGGTGCTAGATATACCTATCCCTTATGTGCTATTGGATACATAAATTGACTTGCCTTAACCTCTTTAGCCTAATGGGACATCTCAGCCTGGGCAGACCTAGAACCTTTTCTGATGTATTTTTCTAAAGCACTGTAGTGTAAGGATGGCTAACATAATATCACTTACCAGGTTACATGAAAAATCCATGTTAATGGCCCCTAGCATAAGAGGGGGCCATTATGTTCAAAATTATGAGAAGCAGACAATTGCTACATTGCCTTTGAAAACCAACCCCCCTTCATTCCTGTGTGAAAGAAGCAGCTTATCTAACTATGTTAAGAAAATTACATGAAGCCATCACTTTACCAGGTCCTGAGTACTTCCTTCGTTATGTTGAGTCCCCTCAGTTCCCATTCACCTTAATGTAATTGATTTCAGTGAGAGCTGTGGGCTCCTGCTATCTAGGATGGTAGGATGTTGAACCCTGGTGCTCAAGGAAGAAGGTTGATGCTACTTCATGGAATATAGAACTCAATTGTAGCTGAGAATAAATGAAGTTTATTCTGCAGGGAGCAAACCAGGAAAGCCAAGGCTGCAACTGAACTCCAACTAGCTTTGAACATCAAGGACAATAAAAAGTC